TGCCCCAAAGGATCAACGAACTCCACGAAGTGAAAGGAAGATCGACTAGACATTAATTAAATTATAAATATATCAACTTATGTGAATATGACTGAAAAATTTCATTTTTTCTTAAAAGGTGGTGTCTATTTACTTGTAACCACACTGTGCAGAAGTAAGTGTATACAAGGGAGCGTTTCCAAAAATGAAAAGAGGTGGGTGGGGTGCCAATGTCTTTGATTTATTACATGAGCAATATCTTAGCAAACAAAAAAGACCTTCTTATTTTATATTCTATCTTGTCAATATCGGTAATTTGAGTTTCTAATTCATACCAAACTATAGACTTAGTATTTTGACTTTACAAACATCTAATCTGAACCAGTGCTGCATTCAATATACCACGTGACACACACACACACACAAAAATCAATGTTTAACCGTTTTTTAATATTTACTTTTAGATTAAAAAACTGAGTAATGTATAGCACTAAAATTTGAATTATAATCTATAGTTTCATACCAAACTTGTTGATATAAATTCATGAAATAGTAGTTCAGTAAAATTTTGAATGCGTGTCAACAAACGAGATGACACGGCCTTTCACCCGTGACCCATCTCGAAAGGGTTAAAGGGATTCTTTAATATATATATATATATATCAATAAACTTGTGTCATTTTTAACCTTCATATTTTGAAATACTGATTAATCTACAGCTTTAGGGATGGAGCCCTTTTTTAAAATGGGAAAATATTTAACATACAAAATTGGAAAAATATGTAGATACCACCTGCTCAAGAACACACACACACAGTAAAATGGTGCTGGTGACTATGAATAGAATTTAGTTATACATTTGTTTTTTGTTAATAATGAAAAGGGAATGTGTTGTTAGGGAAAAATTTAGCTCCTTAACAGAAATTTTACTCTTAATTTGGGAAATGGAGTTAGTATCTAGCCCAATACACGTGATAAAATCTACCACTGAAGTATTATTCAATGTGCATTCAATATGAATGCAAGATTTCGGAACAAATACACGTCTTGTTTAGGTTAACTGGTGAGAATTACCCAAGCTTTATTTATATACATTTGTTTATATTAGTCATTCCACTATCTTATCATATCTTACAATTTTTTTAAAATTTACATTCATAAAATTTAGGACTATTTAAATAAAGATCAAAGTTTGAATAAAGCAGTGTTTCTCAACCACTGGTCTGGGGAGTACCAATCAGTCACAATCACCTGGATTGTCAATGGGATTTCACAAAAATAAACAAAAACTGACAGAATATTTGTATGTAAATCATAATGTTGTTGTTTTTTTGTACTTGCATTTCAGTGACCTGTGACAATTTTAGAGAGGCAGCAAGCTGGTTCCTGGTATCAAAAAGGTTTAGAAACACTGGATTAAAGAACAAAAGTTTTAAACACATTTTAATAGCTGATTGTGCAGCTTCAATGTTGTTAGAACAGAGACTTATCAACAGCCCAACTTGGGTTAAAAAGTTTAGATTAATATGAACTAGGATTATAGGGTTAATTGAAGCTCCACATGCTAAAATTAAAGAAATCATCAAGCATACATACAAAATTTTTATATATCTATGTATACCACTAACCTATATAAAAAATGTAATTAAAAGTCTAGACACAATCGTTTGATTTTAACCCAATGGATCAAACCAGTACTGGTTAAGTAATGGTTTCTATAATTTCAGAATTACCATGTGTATCTTCATGAAATGTGGCAAGCTTTATGTAAAAAGTACAAGCCTGTTTTACACTAAATATCAGATGTGTTAAAGTATTTGAATTCAAGATACATTCATGAACTGATGACATAAGAAACTAAGAACTTGGTGTTAAAGGCAATGTTTATATAAAGAATCAAAATACTTATGTCCATTGTACAGTTTACACATTGCATTTGCATAACTGCTATAACCTCTGAAATCCATATCTACAGTTTTTTCAGCACCTCTATATATCATATTTGGTATTTTCTCTCCTATACCATAAAATGTTGCTAAATTATCAACAACGTAGGGGTAAAATGAATAGTTGACAACTTCAACATCAAATATATAATACCACGTTGAATGGCAGTCTGTAAAATATAGTGGAAGGCACACTTAGACCCCAACTTCAGCACATGGGGTTAAACAAGGCCGAACTGGTGATACAGTTTCATCTATATATGCAATATATGTGGTTAGTTATTTTGCATTACATATTTCTATGCAATTCTATAATTTATCATTGCAGTAGGTGTATTCAATACTGAATAGTCATCCAATCAACACCCAAATTTTAGCATGGAAAGTTTACTTTTCTTGACTGAGTCTTCAGTAGCTAAAGATAACCGAACTCAAGACTAGTACCAGTAACAGCCAGTAGTTTGAATGGTCAAAAAAGTTTGTATCAGTACAGTGGTTCCAAACCTGTACCCATGAAGATACAAGAAAACTTTCAAAAAAACATTAAAAAGAAAATAAACCCTTTGCCTCAACTTTGAAGGCAGTTTTGGTGAATCACTAACACATTAACATTTACGGACAAAAAAAACAAACAAAAGAGACCTGTTAGTCCATCTTGGCTGTACCAGCTCTTATCATTCAAATATTTATCAAGTTCTCATAAGCCCACTATATTTTACTGCTTCAATCACATCTAAAGTCAACCCATTCCAAAGGTCAAGTACCTTGTTAGACAATAAAACCATCTTAGTTGAAGATTACTCCTACCCTTTCAAAATTTATATTTATGTCCCCTAGTCCTACCTTTTTCATCATTAAGTATGAAAAGATGATTCACCAGAACTATTAATTCCCTTAACAATTTTAAACATCTAACAGATCCATTCTAACTCTTCTTTTTCCAAGAGAAGACAACTTCAAATATCTTAATATGTCCTTTTTTTGGAAACTTTTTCCATCACAAATATAATCCCAGAGGCACTCTTCCGAACCCTTTCCAACAGTTCAATATCCTTCCTTAGGTAAGGCACCCAAGACTGAACACAATACACCATATGTGGCCTAATAAACAATCTATAGAATGAAATTATATTTTTTTTAGACTTGCAATCAATATTTCTGTAGATACAACCTAAAATTCAATCCGACCTGCCACTATCAATAGGACATTGCTTGGATGGCTTAAGAGACTGATCAACCAGAACATCAAGTTCCTTTTTTTATTATTTTCTGAATAATAGTGAAGTTATTTCCATGAAAATGACACTTATAATTCAAATTATGATAATCCAAATGCATCTATTATAATCAAAAGCCATCTGCCATTTATTCAACCAATTCATCAAATAATCTAAATCCTTTTCTAAAGCAAGTGTTTTCCTCACAGCCAACAACACCAAAGCCTTTAAATATTATCAGCAAATTAAAGTAATTTATTGACCATTCCTTCATCTAAGTCACTGATGTAAATAATAAAGAACAAAGGTCTTAACATTGAGCCTGTTGTAAAAACACATGTGGAGAGAATGATATTTCAAAAGTCTTCCGACAGAAGAATTTCAAAGCGCTGTCCTCTGCACTTGCATTTTTAAAACAGGCAATGGCTGACCATTCCAGTTTACTCAACATTAATCCAGTTTGACTGAACTTTATTTATAACAACCCTCTGCTTTCTTCCACCCAGCCACTTTTATATCCAACAAGCCAACTTATGCCACACCTACAGTGACAATATTTTTTAAGCAGCCTTTTAGGTAGCATCTTGACAAATACTTTCTGAAAATCCAAATCTACACTTTTAGCCTCATCTAAACAAGTTAATAAAACCTCTTCAAATAATATCAAAATATTAGAAAAGGAAGATTTCCCCCTAACCAAACTATGTTGAGTATTCATAATATAAACTATTGATTCTGAAATTACTGTGGCTACTAGTTACTGTTATCCCACACACACTAGAAATTTGACAAACCACATCATGCTATTAATACTAACACTAGTATTAGTAACAGTAGTACTGGTATACTATTATTATACACTCTTCTAATTCTTCAAAATCCCTAACGGACAAGATTAATAATGTAGTGTTTAAAAATGTAATAGGTCTAATACAAATAGTAATACTAATTAATGTCTTAGGTCATGACAAGTATAATAATTAATTGTAATAATTCTTCGCCGGCTTGTGATTGTACTAACGCCAGTAACGGCGTACACACCATAACGTCTGTAAAGGCTAAAAGTAAAGTGTAAATAATGTTGAAAGGTTTTGGAGAATCAAAAATTGAAAACATGTGTGATGACATCACTTCAAATACCACATGAATCAAATGAATTTTAAAATGGCATCAATGACATTGTCATTAAACTCACGATATATCATCATATTCATAATATAAATAGTTAATACCACTAGGCGTTAACGTGACAAGCTCATACTGACACACTCATACAGTGATAGTAATAATGAAATCAAACTAACTTACTTAGTTTTACTCTTACTTTTGTATCACTTGTAATGTTTCAATTTTACACAATGATGTGATAGTAGAGAAACGAAAGCTAAACAAAACGATTGCTTTCAAAGTAACAAATTACCTAAAAATTCTGAAAATCGATCTTTTTCGGTTGTACTTCTCTTTTCATTTCCCTTGAAATTTGAAAGAAATTCAACACTTTTCGACACGTCTACACGATTCTTCGAATTTAGTATCTTATATTGATAGATGGCGCACCATACTGCAACTACACACATACATATATATACCCAACACAATCTAAAAAGATATTTATTCACAAGAAGCATGTTGGGGCACAAATAAGCATCCAAATATAATGCATTTTAAAAGCTTTCCACAGGTAGACAAAAAAAAAAAAAGGGGGGGGAATATGTTTTGTAGCGTAGACTTGCTAAACCCTAACAAATATTAGGTGCATCATCATCAGTGCATGTAATATATTGTAACGTCTCTACATGTTTGTTAATTTCCCGTAAAAATTCTCCCCGAGGAACTTTAGCGATACAAGTCCTTTCTTAAATAAAGCTAGTTTATTCT